TTTTTTTTTTTTTTTTTTTCATCTATATAACTCAAATTCGGGTTCAGCCGAAATAATTCTAATTCGAAGCAATAGGTTGTTTGATACTGTTTGTAGTACATAGAAAAAACCAATTGATTTATGTTCTGTGGGCGTAGACCAATGAGTCAGCCTTCCCATTTCCACAGTTTCCAGCCATCAGTCCCATCACAGAAGAAATTGGGGTTTTCCCTTTTCCCTCCCAATTTCAGATTTCAACCCTAAAATTTGTTCCCCTTTCGCGCCAGCTTTTGCAAATCCCAAATTTCCCCCAATTTCTTTAACCATTCCATTCTTTCCTTCTGCTGTCCCACATCAACACTTTATATATTTCTATTTCTGTATGTGATCTTTGTCTTTTCCCATTCACTTCAATATATTCCTTCAATATTCCAGATACGGTTAACGCCATGCCACGCGGAAGGAAGCGTCAGAGGCCGGAGAGATCGCCGGGAATCTCTGAGAGGTTGCCGGAACGTGTAGAAAAAGCGGAGGGGGATGGAAAAGAGGACGGTTCTGGTGATAATAAGGACGGTGGGTGTGAACCAGTCGTGGAGGATGCGGAGGGGGAATACGAGGAAGTTAGGGATTTGGAAGTGGGGAAGGTAGAGAATGGAGAGAGCTGTGACAATATGGGTTTGGATTTTGAGAAAGAGGGCGATGATAGATTCTCAACAGACGAGAAAGTTCAAGAGAGCGGTGGCGATACTTTGAAAAAGAGGCTGAGGCGTGTTCCTAAGAAGGTTTATTATGATGAAGAAGAAGGAGAGGAGGATGATGGGTCTTTGTCCAAGAGGTCTGGACGAAAGCGTAGAAAGAAGGGAAGAACTTCAAAAAGAGGAGGTGAAGAAGATACTAACAATCAGAAAGAGGATGATAATCAAGAGGTTGAAAAGCACGAGAAAGATGATAACAGTGATGCTATTAGTGCTGATGATAAAAAGGTTGCAGTAAAGAAGCGTGGTAGAAGGGGTAGGCAGAAGGGTAAGGTCCCAAAAATCCAACACAATGAAGGTAAAGATGTTAATGGTGCAGTTCCAGAAGTTGAGGGAGAAGAGGGAAGCGATGATTTGGGGGAGGATAGTACAAATAAAGAGACTCCGCATAAGGCAAGGGAGGGTAAGGGTAAGGAAGAAGAGAAGGCTTCTTCGTCAATGAGCATGAGGTTCGGTTATTCACTTAGGGCCTCAAAGCCTTCCACAGTGGAAGAAACATCAAGAAATGGAACAAAGAGTGATCCTGAGGTAAGAAATTTTTATTGTTATTGTGTTTGTGGTATGAAGAAAAAAAGAGGAAAAAACAGTTATCATGATTTTTGTTTTTTATTTTCCCTTCTGGTTTTCATGCAGATTGTAATGTAACCATAATCTTTTCCTTTTTTCTTTTTAATGTTGCCATTGGCTACAGGCTAGCCATCGTCTGAAAGAAGAATCATTAATGTGTCATCAGTGTCAGAGGAATGATAAGGGCAGGGTTGTGAGATGCAAAAAATGCAAGCGGAAACGATATTGCGTCCCTTGTATAACTACCTGGTATAATTTTGTTGAACATTTTCATTGTCACTGTTTTTCTTAGAATGCAGTTGTTTCTTATATTTGACTCCTTCTGGTTGAATCACTATTTTGGTTAATGTGTAGATGTTCTTGCTCAACCATGTAATATATGATTTGGTTTGATGATTGTTGAATTGTTAATATGGAAAATTTTCAACCCCAAGAGCTAGTTTTTCAAAAAAATATTAGGTGCTGGTAAAATGTTCTTTAATCGCCTAGGATGAGGTTCTCTCTGGAATAACTATCATGGTACTTGAAATGATGTAGTAGTAAGACATCTTGTGCAATTGCTGGTTCTTGTCTTATTTTGCTTCCTACATTTGTTGTCTTAGCGGCTATCATGATATAACAAGATAGGTTGTTATTGTTACTGTGTTCTGATGCTAAGTTACTAACCTCCTCTTTCTTTCTTCTTCCCTCTTTTATTTTCATGTGAAGGTATCCCAAGACTTCAGAGGATGACATTGCTGAAGCCTGCCCAGTTTGTCGGTATAACTGCAATTGTAAGGCATGCTTGCGCAAGGATGGACCTCTCAAGGTCAGTGTGCTTTTATTTGCTTTCCCATTATTTGAATATATGATGTTATGGTTGACATATGGCATTCTTTTTTTATGAAATACTCTGCAGAATAAAAACCTAATGCTTGAGTTTTCAAAGCATGAGAAAGATCAGCATTCTAAGTACTTGCTTCAGGCAGTTCTCCCTTACATTAAACAATTTAGTGAAGAACAAATAACAGAGAAGGAGGTAGAGGCCAAAATTCGTGGTACTTTCTATTTCTTTGATCAGCTTGTTTTGTATAATATTTGTATCTCTTAAAATCCTTAGTCATTGAAAGTCTTAAAAATAAAAATCTGGTTTCATTTGATATCTTCTTTAAAATTGTTGTTATTAAATATAGCTGTTATTTTTTGAATGGTTTTATAAGTATCATCTTTCTCCTAAATCACATGAGCCCAAAAGTCAAAATGGCAGATCATATGTTGGTCATTTTTGCTGTCATGAGTGCTCAATGTGGAAAATTCTGAAACTTTGGAAATTTTGTTCACCCTATACCATGAGTCAAATCTGGTTGCTTGTTGTTTTGTCGTGGATTTTCTATGTGATGTATTGTCAAAGCCCCTTGCCTGATCTAAACTATTTTGCTCTTTAGCGAAGCAGAGGTAATTCATGCAACTTGTTGAAATATTTGTGCCAATTTGCATTTTAGCTTCCTAGTATTGTTATGGTACTATCCAATGTTGGTCCATTGAGAATCTTTTATGCTATTGTGGTGGATCATTTTTACAGATCGTAGTTTTTTAGGTCCCATTGAAAAATGGTGAATAAGCAATTAGCTTCTGATGGTAACCATGAAAAATTGCTAATATAGTGATATTTAATATGCATGCATAAAAAATCTAAACATTTTTAATCAAGGTGTTTTTGTGAATTTTAACATGATCTTTGGATGAGCAGGGTCATCACCATCAGACATACATCCCCAGCAGGCATTTTGCTCTCCCAAAGAGCGTGTTTATTGGTATGTGCTTATCATTTTAATATATACTTATTATTTTATTTATTTTAACAGGATCGTTTTCTTTCTCACTGAATCTTCGCATGCTTATCAAGTTCCTAATGTCATTACTCTTTTCTCCAGTGACAACTGCAGAACTTCAATTGTTGACTTTCATAGAAGCTGTCCTAAATGCACATATGATCTCTGCCTTATTTGCTGCCGTGAACTCCGTGATGGCTGCTTACAGGGTAGTCAAAAGGAAGTAATCATGCAATATGTTGACAGTGGATTTGATTACTTGCATGGTAAACTTCCACCCTTAAAAAAGGATAATTGTGATGACTTACCTTCAAAAATTAATGATGAAAAACATGTAAGTGAAATATATCTGTGGAAGGCAAATGAAAATGGCAGCATTCCTTGCCCCTCAAAGGACTTTGGTGGTTGTGGTGATGGCCTTTTAGAGTTGAGGTGCATGTTTGAAGAAAATGCTGTTGTTGAGTTGGTAGGAAAGGCAGAGAGAATTGCCATGGCTCTCGATCTGAAACAGATGTCTGAGTCTCTTAAGCAGCAGTGTTCTTGTTACAACTCTGTGGGTGAAATTGATGTTGAAAATAATAAGTTAAGGAAAGCAGCTTCACGAGAAAATTTGAATGACAACTATTTATATTGCCCAACAGTTATGGATATTCAGAATGGAGATCTGGAGCATTTCCAAAAACACTGGGCTAAAGGTGAGCCTATTATTGTCAGTGATGTGCTTGACAATGCTTCTGGTTTGAGCTGGGAGCCGATGGTTATGTGGCGTGCTTGTCGTCAGATTTCAAATATCAAGCATGGTCAACACCTGGATGAGAAGGCCATTCATTGCTTAGACTGTTGTGAGGTTAGTTCAGCTAAAAACTATTCTAGTTTGCTATCATAAACATCCGATGCTGATTTAATTTTGAAAAACTTTTTGTTCCAAACTTTGTTTCATATTCATTATCTTTGATTTCTGGTTAATGTTAAAGTTGTTTTGTAGGCATTTCTTCTTTATCTGCTGGATTATATTAGTACAATACTGGCACTGTTTTGTTGCAGCTAAATTCATAACACTCTTTTGTCTTGTAACTTAAGTCAAAGTTGCATGTATTAGAGACAGAAAGCAAATGATAGATCCTATGGATGGGCAGATTTTATGATGCTTGCCACTTTGATTGATTGTTTAGCTGAAGTACTCAAAAGAAAGAATTCTTGTTCTTTTCAAGATTTTGTGCCATTCCTTTCCCACTAAATATTTTTCAGGATGATCACGTAGTGGTATAGCAAGGTGTTTGATCAGTTTCTGGTTACCACACTGCTAGTGTTTTTGGAAAAACAAAACTTCCTCACAGCCAGGGAAAAACAAAAACCTTTTTCAAATTCTTTTGTTTTGGTAAAAAGAAGGTTGCTTCTTCTTTTCAGTTACATAAAATGCTGTATAAGTACCAATCAGAAATCATAAACTGCAAAATTTCATTGCAGCAGTAACAATGATGCTTGTACATTCATTTGTTTTGTTCAGCCTAATCAACTAACTTTTCAAAAAATTGTGACTAGGAAGTAAGGGATAGATGCAGTGCTATGCATATCTTTTGTTGCTTTTGAATTGTTGTAGTTCTTACTGAATGTGTTTGTCAGTTTTTCAATTGATTTTTAAGTGTCCCCATGCTTGATGACTTTGGATTCAAAATAGCTTTCTCTAATGAATTGCAGGTTGAAATCAACATTCACCAATTCTTTAAAGGGTATACGGATGGTATGTCTGATAGAGTGTCATGGCCAACACTACTGAAATTGAAAGACTGGCCCCCATCTGATAAATTTGAAAAACGACTTCCACGCCACTATGATGAGTTTGTTTATTGTTTGCCATTTAAGGAGTATACACATCCTCAGTATGGTGCTCTGAATCTTTATACTAAATTGCCTGAAAATTCTCTAAAGCCAGACATGGGGCCTAAGACTTATATTGCTTATGGAGTTCCTCAAGAGCTTGGGCGAGGGGATTCTGTCACTAAGCTTCACTGTGATATGTCTGATGCGGTATTTGCTCTTAGTTTCTCTCTATTAAATTACTACAGCAGCTTGCTTCCATTAGTTCCTAGAAAATTCTATTAGATTGTTGTACTACAAGAGATTTTCCTTGTAGGAGGTAGAATTTTCTAATAGTGAGGTATTTATGAAATTTATTATTTGAGAAACAGTTAGAAATAGAAGTTTGCATTGTTCTTGTGTTTTACAGAACATACTCTTTGACAGGTATCATAAATTAAAGTGATGCATCGAGACACCATCTCAAGTGTAGCAATCTAAAACACATTTAGGGGAAAAGATTGTTATTGCATTTTGGGTTGATTTTATTTGTCTAAAGTGAAATAAAGTGTAGCCCAAAAGGAAAAGTTGCAATCCTTACAGCTAAGGGTTGATTGCTCTTGTTTGAAGATTGATTCAACAACCCCCATGCATGCAAAAACATAATTTCCTGCTCTGCTGTTCTTGTCAATATTGGGTGATGGATGACCAATGCCGATCAGGACTGGAGGGAGTGACAGATTTGCAGAAGAAATGATACAGTTTTGGAATGAGTACTCCATCTGGAAAGAAAATGAAGGCTTGCTGTTTAAATGGCAACTTGCTTTAAGGAACTGTGTATTGTTGGGAAAAATTCATGATCAAACCAAAGGAGAAAAACAAGGTTGGGTGGTAATAAGGAGGAAAAGTAAAACCTCATTTTTTATCTAACCAAATGCTGTATAGAAATAGAACCCCAGTTTTCTGCAACCCTAGCCTGAGGTTTGAGGTAAATTACATCTTGTCTGTCCTTCAGAAGGCTTATATTTTGCCTCTTAGGTGAACAAAATGTTAACTTTATTATTCTTAAGACTTGCTAAAGAGTGAATTACATTTGTAAAATGAAGATTTAAGTTTTTTAACCACATAAGGAGTCATTCCTCAAATGTCCTTCTTGATGCTACTTCCTGGTGATACTAGTGGTTGTATGTACCTCCCAAAACCTTGCTTTGGTCAGATTACTAATTAATTTTAATCATTTCTTGTTCCTAAAAGGCATTTCATTTTTGTAACTTTACCATTTCAGGTGAATGTTCTGACACATACTGCTGAAGTGAAACTTCCAGCTAAACATCTTGAAATCATAAAGAATTTGAAAAAAAGGCATCATGCACAGGATCAGAAAGAGTTTTTTGGAATTGATGTAGAGGTTGAAATGACGAAGCCCACTGATCAAGCTGATGGCAACCCTACCAGTGATAATCAATCTGGTGATGAAGGTGGTAGCCAAGAGAATGGTGAAGATGATAAAGTTTCTGAACAAATGTTTGCGGGATCAGAAGTTGCTGATGGAGGTGCTGTCTGGGACATTTTCCGGAAAGAAGATGTTCCTAAGCTGCAATGTTATCTTAAGAAGCATTTTAGGGAGTTCAGGCATATTCATTGTAATCCAATATCACAGGTAAATGGTTTCTAAATAAAATATGGTGACTGGAGTTTGGAATTTTTTGGTCAAGTGATCAGATTGATAACATATTAACAATAGGAGTTGAAAGAAATTGTATGTTTTTATCAATGCTGCTATTGTATGATTTTGCTTTTTTGCATTAATATTGTCATCATGGTCTTCTTGTCAAAAAGAAAAATTTTCACTTACATGTAGAACTGAATGATTTCTAAATTAGTCTTGTTCAAATTAACTGTGAACTGGCAAAAAAACTGTGTTCATCATGCAACTTTCCATATGCTTCTTGTGAATAAGATCATCAAATTGGACTATTGATGTTAAATGTTTAAAAGTTTTAGTTTCTATTAGCATTTTTTTGGCCATAAAGTTCATTGTTTTCATTCTTTTATAGAACCATTTCCTTTTTCCTTGTAGACTCAAAATAATAATAATGTATCTGGTGTTGCAGGTTGTTCACCCTATACATGATCAGACATTTTTCCTTACTATGGAGCATAAAGCCAAGCTTAAGGAGGAATATGGTATGTTAATTGTTAAATACTTAACTCTTTTCTTTTCATTTACATATATATATTTTTTAAATGGTTGGTGTGTTTAACATGTAGGTTGCACTGGGAACATTAATTTGTATTTAGTGCATGTATTTTAAATATTTTTGCTCCAAATACATGCATTCAAAATTACACTGGATAAAACATTGCTACCATGAATTTGAAATGGATAAATATTGGAATCATTCTTTGATTACCAAGTTAGTGTAATGTATATATTAAGTATTTGAAACAAATAGATTTAAATAAAATGAAATACATTGTATCTGAACCAATTTAAAAAACACATTTTTAAAAGATCTTAATTCACATACTAAAATTGACATTCCCAGACTGACTAGTGATTGTTTTCTTACCATCAGATGCATATCATGATATCTGATTATTCTACGCTATTATCCTGTTGTGTAGGAATCGAACCGTGGACTTTTATTCAGAAAGTTGGGGATGCTGTGTTTATTCCTGCAGGCTGTCCCCATCAAGTAAGGAATGTTAAGGTAAGTCCTTGTGATTTCCGATTATGCTTTAGCTTGACAAAGTTGGGTCATGAACTCTTTTACCATAAGGATTTGCATGATAATTGTGTTGTAGTTGTGTTCTCATTTCTGTTGAATATAGAAGCTGAAGCACATCTTGCTTGTTTCTAGAATCTATCAATTTATGTCGTGGCATATTACAATGTATCTTCCCCTTGAAGGGGGTGTCTCAATTCATGAGACATTGAGACTCCCAAGTTTGAAGTATTGGGTTTGAACCTTGAGAAGAAGGATAGCAAGAGATTTGGGAAAGCAGAGGGCTATTCCCTATTATATAGTTGGATTGCAGAACAAAAGATGCCAACCTGGATTTTGTGTTAAGCATGCTACTATGACTTGGATTAGCAGATAATATGGTTTGATTTTAATTTATATCCAGTGTTGCAGTTTCCGAATATAACATAGGAGAATGTATCAATATAAGAATAAGAGCTTACTTTTCAATCAGAGTGTT